TTTGCTCTGAGGTAGAAGCTGGGCACAGGAGCCACTTTTACTCATTAGGACAAGTGTGCTAACGCACACCAAACACACTCTTGGCTCCCGCAAGAGCCCCCCCTTTCCCAGGCCTGTGGGTCTGTGAGCCCCACTTCTGTACTCTAGCCTTAAACACAGGTCAGAAAGCAGAAAGAGAGGGATGAACTTGTATTCTAAACCCAGGACAATTCCCAGGGGCTTAGATATGTTTCCAAAATTGTGACTGAAGAGAAGTTAGAGCAGAAATCAAAGAGGCAAAATCGAAGGGGGTTCCCCAGGTTGGGAGTGCAGGAAGGGGAACCTGGAAACACTCTCTGCCTCCATCCCCACTCCCCCGCCTCACTTCCCCAGTGGATCCCTTAGTCTGTGGGACTCCCAAAGGTGCCCGTGCTGGGACTAGACGTTGTGTTTGTGTCGGGACGGGGTTAGAGGCCCCTAAGGGTTCAGGGGGAGGGTCTGCGTGGCTGGCCCGCGTGGCTGGCCCCGACTGCCTCTCCCGACAAGCTGTCTACAAAGAATGTAATTCATGGCGGTCGATGGGCTCTTTGATTAGTTCAATCGCCTGAATAATCGTTTAATCAATAAAGCATTTCATTCTTCAGCGAGATGGACCTGGGTGGGGTCGGGGAGGGTGGCCCACACTGGCTAGAGTTTTAAAATCTGAAGAGCCACGCCCCCTCTTCAAGCCGAGTTGGGGTAAGGGCCACTTGCGAAGGTAAATGCGAACTTCTCGGGTGACACTGCACTTTCGCCGGTCTGCCCCAGCCCCGGCCCCAGCTCGGGAAGAGGAGAGCTGAGAAGCTGGACAGCTGGGGGCATCCAGGTCCTGTCTGGGGGTTTCTTCCTGGGCTTCTTCCCTCTCCTAACTTTGAGGGGTTTTATAGGCCTCTTGACCTCCCTTTGCTTTCTTCAGAACTGTATTTTGTTCTGTCTCTTGACCTCAGTTTCCCCATCTGTACAGTTGGGAAGGAGTCAATGCCCTTATAGCTCTCAGCTTAAGATCCGGTGAGGTCGGCCCTAAGTAGGGAAGCACTAGGATTTTTTTTTTGGTCTAATTTTCCCCTTGTGGTACCAAAAAGGAAAAACGGGTCCAGAGAGGGGCAGGTATTTGTGGGGGACTTCTCTGCCCCTAGAGTTCTCATTCCTGCTGGGAGAGGAGACAGAGTCCCACCCTCATGGGTCCCCTTGAAGAAAAACTGCGACTGGGCACTCGAGCTGCTGTGCGAGTTCAGGCTCCCCAAGGCTAGGGAGACCAGGACAGGCGGAACACTGTCTGGCAGAAGACGGTGTCCAGACCCCCCGCTCTAAAATGAGCCTGGTGGGATGATGCCCATATTCTCTACCCAGGGGTCTTCATCCTTCTGAAACTTGGGAGGCCACATCTCAGGGGTTCTTCCCCCTGTTAGACACATGGGGAAGCTGCGTCCTGGGAGAAGGGGCCCTCTGCCCGAAGACGTTAGAGAGACAAAGGTAGCCCCAGAGCCCTTGTCCTTCGGGGTTCGCTCATAATGGAAATAAACCCTGACAACGACAATTGGCATTTCTCTTGAAAAATGTGGTTAAATTCTTCCCCCTTTCCCCCCACCCACTTCCACAGTTTCTGTGGACGGACCTGGGCCAGAAGCAAGGAGTCAGCTCTGACCCCACTAGCTGTGTAATTTCGGGTCAGTTGCTTTGTCTCTTTGATGTTTTTAAAATGAGGATTAGAGAGGACCCACCAAGTTAGGACAGCGATGACTGTGTCATCTCTGACTTTACCGAACTGAGCAACCAGTGGAGCCCTGTGGGCGTGCTTTGCCAGAAGTGAGAGGGAAATGGGCTGGACTTGGGCTGCGTGAGTCAATCTCAGGCCCACCGAGCGCTATAGCCGCCCCAAACCCCCGACGGCGCTGGGCGCTGGCGGGGCTGGGGGTGGCGGAGAGAGGGGACGCGGGAGGGAGTGTGTTCGAGTGAAGCCAGGTTGTCTAGCTGAGGATCGATGTGGATGTTTCTCTGAAGGTGTGTGTGTTGGCTTCTCAAACGTTATTCTCAATGGTTTTTCTTTCAATAGCAAAACTTTCTAAGTCAATGCGGTTTACATAAACTGGATTTCTTTCCGGAAGGTTTTGTTTCCGGGCCTCCAGCGCTTAGCACAGGGCTGGGCCCAAAGTCCTCCTGCGGAGGGAACGAAACCACGCGACTGTTGCGCAGAGTGAGGCCCGACCGCTTTCAGCAGGGCGGCCTCGAGACCAGCTGCTCGCTTCGTTCTCTCCTGGACCCAGACTCCAGGGCTTGTGAGCTTCCGGAGGCGGGACACAGGCGTGGCAGCCGGTCTTGGGCATGGAATCGCTGTGTTATCTGAGAATGGTTTCGTAACCTCCCTGGGCCGCCGTTCATTGGCCTGTAAGGTTGGGCAAGGTGGCCAGGATATCAGGTCTGGCATTGGAAGTTCCGGGGTGCGGGCCCAGTCCGGAGGCGGTGAATTACCCCCGCGCCGGAGGGAGGCTCCCTCCGCCCCGAGCAGCGCACAGTGCGGAAGGGTGATGCTCTCGCCCAAGACACAGTCCTGAAGCAGTACACCTGTATGAAACGGGAATCTGAGCTATTTCTGTTCCATTAGCATCTGCAGTTCCACCCTACTCCGGCAGCGCTCGGGGGACTCTGCCCAGCCTCCCAGGTATGGGTTGGAAACCCGTTTGTGCGGGCATATCCTATTTGGGTTCTTTTATTTGGTATCATACCCCTACTCGCCCCGCCATTCCGCGAGAGGCTCTGGAGAGACCCTTCTGAGAAAGAGGTTCCCGGCCCCCAGCCTTTCCTCTAGCCTGGATCTACTCTGTGACGTTAGACAAGTCGCATCCTGCCTCAGCCTCACTTGGAGAATCTGTAAAATGGGGGAAGTATATAACCTCAGGGCCCTTGCAGCTCTAAGACCTTACAGTCTGAGATTCCTCAAAGAGCGAGGCTGGAGGTGGAGCTGTCACTCGCTGCGACCCTCAAGGCGACCCCACCCCCTCATCCCCTCCCCGCCCCTCAGGTGGGAATGCAGAGCCTCCCCGTCGGCATCTAGTCACCATGGATCCACCGTGGGCCACCGATGGAGCGAGAGCGGGAGCCCCAACTCATCCTGGTCTCTCTTCCCTGTTTCGACCTTCCCGCTACAAGGCGGGGTGGGGGTGGGGATGGGCGAAGATTCGAACAGGCACAGTTCCAGACAAAGAGATCATGCCGCTTCCCCACCTCAGGGGCCCCAGAAGCCAGCCTGAGGCCGTTTTCCGCAGCTGTGCCCTGAAGGGGGTGGGGATGAGTCAGCGCCGGAAACTTAACTACCCGTTCAGGGGCTGCTGGGTCTGGGCCAGGAACAGAAAGAAGTTGGGCTACAGGACAGACCCAGTGTCGGGTGCGTGAGAAATGGGGCACAGGTAGAGAGAGGGGAGACTGAAGTGGAGAACAGCCTGGGAGCCTTCCCAGGTCAGCATGTGCTCTCTCCTCCCTACTAGCCGAGGTTTACAGCGGGCATCACAGAGCCCTTGTTCTGGTGGATTTACGTTTAATATTAGAGGATCATGGCTTATGAATTGGAAATGGTGGGACTTGGGACCACTCCCATGAGCTGCTGGGGCAGGAAAGTCTTCATCTTTTCTGCCAGGACCCTGGCAGACATAAGCGTTCACAGAACTGTTGCCTCCTGGGTATGGACTGGCTGTCACATGCTTTGTTTTCAAAAACCACTTTTTTTTTTTATTGTGGTCCCAGGTTCTCACACCCCCCAGAGAAACAGATTCGTTGGTCAGGGACCTGTCCTTCTGGACCAGGAGGATTTTGTTATAAATTCCATTCATTTTGTCCTAAAAGAAACAAGAACTTCCCCAGGAGAGGCAAGGTCAGGTTTTTGAAACAGCTGATAGCTGCAGCAGGGTAGCACTCCTGGCATGGTTTGGCAGGCCCTCGCAGATAGAATGTGCCAGCCCACCTGCCCTCCTCAGGGACCTTCATTAGCACTGGTCAGGACTGGGTTCATTCAGTTCCCAAGAGGCCTTGCACGGGATGAGGATTTGCCCCTGTGGAGAGAAGCCTCCAGCTCCGAGGATCACTAAGCCCCCCAACGCGTCTGGTGGCTCCTGGCCTGAGGCTGGAAAGAGGTGTTCAGGGCTCAGTGCTTGGGCAATTCCATCCAAAGCCTCAGATAACCTCCTTTCCCCAGGAACACCCTGGTTACCAACTTTAAAATAATGTAAGATTTCTTTCATCTCAAAGTCCCTGCCTCTCGGTTATATCAGAATTGGGGACCATGGGGTAAAAAGAGGGAGAGGGGTGGATGAGGAGGCTGTGGCTTAGCAGGAGTTTGGTACAATTATGAAATATTTCCACTGGAAGGAGATTTCATTAAAGACTAATAAAGCCAACTCTGCCCATTTTACAGATGAAGAAACTGAGAATGGGACACTGTGCGCACACTATGAGTCCATCGTGAGTGTGATGGTGCTTAGATTGAAAGCCGTTTCTCTATTGCTCTCCTTGTTTTTCTCCAGCATTCGTTGCGTGTGTGTTTTCTGGAGACTGTTTCCCCCACCTTCACTCCCCACCCCCGCAGTGGCTGTCCCCAAACCTTCAGGGCATCCCAGGGTCCCGCCATGGCAGTGGATAGGCTAAGCTCCCTCGGGATGTGCAGCGGAACTCTCCAGGCACTAGGTGGATCCCCTCCCCCCTCCCTCCATCCATGCTCACTAGGCCTTCGCGCCGCGGGTTTGTCAATGAACGTGGCGCCGCCGCCTGGACCCCGCCTCCCATTTTCTCCCATTGCCCAGGTATCCGCTAATTAGGCGGGGCCCGCCGGTTTCTCAGCCAATGGAACGGTGTCTCGGGCCAGGACCGGCAACCATTGCTATGATTGGCTCGATGAAGCGTGATTGGCAGGTTAGCGCCCGCCCCGCCCCCGCCCCCGCCCGGAGGGAGGCTGAGCCCCGGGCGGCGCTGTCCACACGCAGCGGGTCCTGAAAGCGGCTCCAGGGTGGCGCGGTGGCGCACTGTGCGCGCCGAGCAGGCGGAAGGCTAGCGCCCGCGGCGGCAGTGCCGGCAAAGCCAACAGCGGCTCCATTTCAACACCAGTAGTCCCGGCGGCCTTGGTGGAGGGGACCTTTTCTGTCTCCTCTGTCCCTCCCTCCACGCCGGGGGCAAGCACGGCGGCCGTCCCGGAAGAGGCAACTGGAAGACAGTAGAACCAGACCTCCGAGAGAGGGCGGAGGGGCTCGAAGAGTTGGTGGGCGTAAGGCAGATATTCAGGCGAAGAGGACACTATCGCTGTTGTCCCTTTTCCTGGTCCCAGCGATGGGGGGGCCGCGGGAGCCGCGGGAACTTTGAAGGCAGCGGGTCCCAGGGTATGAAGGCTACAAGCTCCCGGAGACTCCGGCGTCTCAGCCCCTACGTCCGCGGCGGAAACGACTGCGAACCCGCCTGGGCCCCAGCTCCGCCAGAGAGGAAGTTCTTTGCAACTTCGTCCGAGACGTCGGAGAGCCGGATAGAAAGAGGCTGAGGCAGCAAGTCCGAGTCCCAGAGACTCAGAGAAGCAGAGAGGAAAAGGGTCCGGTGGAGATCAAGAAGTCAAGGAGAGACTCCAGAGGCAGCGAGGCCGCGGAACCAGCCTGGCAGTCCGCGGGCCTCGCCGCCCCCTGAGTAAAGCCAAGGGCCGAGTGTCCTGCAGGCCTCCTCAAAGCCGCTCCCCTCCGAGGTCACGGGTGCCTGGCCGTCCCGGAGGCGGGCCCCTACGCTATGCCCCCGAGGCTGCAAACGCCTTGGCAGCAGCTACCTCGAGTCGCGTCCGGAGACGCCGCCTGAGCGAGCCCGGGAGTAAAGCCGTCAGGAGTTGGGCTCCCCTCATCCAGCCTGACTGCACTGGCGCGGTTTCCCGCCTCTAGGCACAGATCTCGGCGATCTCCGGCAGGGCGTCTCTGGGAGAAGCCCGGAGGCTTCAGCAGTGTTTTCTGAGTCCAGCTCTCACGGTGCCCGGCCTGGCAGCGCAGCTCCTGAGCCGCGCTGGGCAGCCCCTTGGCGCCAGGAGGCGGCGGCGTGGGCCGGCCTGCAGTCTGGAGCGCCCCGATGGAAATACACTGTAAGCACGACCCGTTTGCATCCATGCATAGTAAGTAGGCGGCGAGCTCGCTTCTCTCACTCTCCGGCCGGGACGGGGTTGGGGTGCCGGACTGCGGGGCAGGTACTAAGGCCGGTAGGACCCAGGACTTCTGCAGCTGTGCGGTCAAGTTTGCGAATTGCAGGGCTCCCAGGCAGGGATGTGGAACAAAGTGCCTGGGCGCCTGGGCCCGGAGCACCTGGCACCAGGAATCCCGCCTCCACCAACGCGTAACGCAGGCAGCGAGCTGCAGCCTTTCCTGCAGCCTTTCGGGGGCTCTGGCAGCGACATCTCAGTGTGCTGGGAGAATCCAAGCTGGGACCTGGAGAGGGCTCCGACTGGACTAGTTGGAGGGCACGAAGTTGTAGCGAAAGGTCAGTCTGAGTCTCAGCGCCCCACACCCAAATCTCGACAGCGCCTTTTTCAATGGTGGGGCTAATAAGACAAGGGCTTAGAGGGAAAGTGGGGCCCCAGCCAGTGTCTTTGTGCTTCCATGTGTGAAGGTTGAAAGATAAGCGAGACACCGTGCCCAGAGCTCCCAAAGTGTTCTGGAGTTGAGGAGTGGGGTTTGAAAAATCAACCAAGTCGAGGTCCCTGAACTGAGCTTCTGCTTAGAAGCCGCCAGTTCTTACACAGACCGTTAAAGACACCTTCAAATCCTTCTATGCCGCACGCTTGCCTTATGATGGCTTCTATCCTAAACAAACAAACAAAAAAATCAAGAAGAAGCCAATTAGTCAACATACAGGCGCCCCCGCCTTCTGGAAGACGCTGCGTGTGTAGGAGACGGGAAGGGTCATTTTGGGCGCGAGCGACGCCGGCAGGGCCCGGCAGCCTGACCCGCCGGGTCTGCCGGTTCACACTTCAGCACAGCCTCCTGTGAGATGAGCGTTCCTCTCACGGTGAGTTAGCGCCGGATTAGAGTCGGAGATTTCAAGGAAATACCAAGCGGAACGAATCGCGTTTTCCCTCTGCGCGCTGCAGAGCTGGGCCGGAACAGGGCACCAGGCTTTGGCGGCATCCAGCCGGGTGCCCTGCTTGGGTCCCCACCGGGCGCAGGTCATAGGGGTGCTCCCTGGGTAGGAGCCGTCCCCGAGCCAGCTTCTCAGGCAGCCCAGGATCCTGCTTACTAGCCGCGGGTCCCCTATTTAACAAAGGCAGCAGAGACCCGGCTGGAGAGAAGGGGAGCTTTTCTGGGCGAATTTGTCCTTTTTAATCCAGAGGGCCGAGTGGCCTGGTAGGCAGAGAAATGCTGATCTTGGCGGCCCGGGCTGACTGCCGGCAGGTCAGTTTCTCTTTGTGTCAGTTTCCTGAGTCGGAGGTAACCACACAAGCTGTGGGGACGTTTGTACAGAGAAGCCGCTTGCTCCGGTCCCAGCCCGAACGATTCCTCCTCGTTTGGGGCCTGTGCTAAAAAGGTTTCTAGTCTGTGGTGACCCCAGCGCCCCCGCAGCCGGCTCCTGCGCACACTTGAGCCAAGCTCGGGGTGGCTCTGATCTGCCAGAGCGAGTCAGAAAACAGGCGAGTTGGGGTCAATACTCTGAGAGGCAGGCAAGCTCTCAGCTCGGCCGAGGAGCCACTGGGGGGCAAAACGGGGAGGGCTGGCCGCTACTCTTCTCTTCTCGCGGTGGGGGAGGAATCAACAGACCCTCACTGCCTCCTTTTGCGTGAAGGGGCGCCGCAGAGGTACTGCACAAGCCCTTGGGGAGATAGCGTGAGACCCGGTGGTCTCCCAGCTGTGCAGGATGATGGAGAAGGCAGCTTCTTACAGGTGCTGTTAGCCAACCGCTAATGACTGTGTCTCTGTCCCTCCTTGTCCTGGCCTCCATCTGCCCCCTCCTTCAGAAGTGCTCCCTCCTCCCATTTTCAACCTTCCAGGCAGCGCGGTGGGGGCTGGGCCCCAGCCAGCCGAGCTTCCAGAGCTGGCTTCTCTGGAAGTGCCCTTGGTTCTGACGTCCAGAGCTATTTGCTTGCACAGTGTAGGCCCTCTATGGGGCCTCAGTTTGTTGGTGATTGGAGGTGGCAAGTGGGGTGTGCAGTAGATCCTTAGAGATCTCTGGGGCAGTAGAGGCTCAAAGGCTTGCCTCCTCCTCATCACCCTTCTTGGCCTGGGTCAAGTTCATGCCCCCACTCTCCTGCCCCCATTGGAATAGGACAGCTTTTTGTGGGGGGTTGGGCAGGGGCAGACCCTGCCAGGAAATGGGCTTCTGAGTTCCCCTGCCCCCACCCCCTATTCCAGACTCATCACTTTCTTCAGCACAATGCCTCCTCGCTCTCTCCCCAGATGTTTTCCTCCCTCAGGTATGACTACCATTTATAAAGCACTTTTATAACCAGTCTCCCACCTGAGATTTGTCTAAACCTTTAGCTACAACCATTTTATGGAGTGTGATATTGGGGTCAGAGAGACAAAAGGACTGAAAGTTCACAGGGGCAAACCTGGAGCTGGTTCTTGGGTCTTCAGGGAGCCACAGAAGCAGAGAAAGAGGGACTCAGGTTTTTGAAGGAGGAGAGGGGACTGTCTGAGTAGGCACACACAGGTGCGCGGCGCTGTGTCTGGTTTAACTTTGTCTGTGTCTGTGGCCCGCCTGTCAGTGTGTGTCAGCATCTGTCTGTCATTTAGAGAGTGCAGTAACGAAATTTCATTCCTGCTCTTCCCTGGGTCCCTGTTAGGGTGTCTGTGTGTCCCTTCATTCATCCTCTTGGGTGCCACTAGGAAAAATTTCAATGACCCTGAAAGCCCTGGAGTTCAATCTTTGACTGAGCAGGGACCCTCTCTCTAAGACCCTGTGCCCAGCCATGTGGGCAGCACGTTCGGACCAGGGCCCGAGGAGCAACTGTGGAGGCTGGCCCTCCCAGACCAGAGCCACGGAGGCCCCAGGGGCATCTGCAGTTCAACCTTTCTCTCTCTGCACCCCCCAGACCCTTTCCTGTCAGTCCTATGGGGGCAGGGCTGTTTCCCTTGTATCTGTGTGTCTGTTTCCTGGTCTTTGCCTTAATTTGTTTCCATCTATCTTTGTGTCAGTCTCTCTGTAAATTCTACTTGGCCCTGAAAAGTGTAGCTGAGTCTGTGCTCCCCGCAGCCGCCCCCATGGGATAAACGGGTACCCAGCTGGAGTCCACAGGAAGTAGAGGCTGGGCTTATGTTCTCTGGGGAGATGCAGGGCTGGAGCTGGGGTTCCAGAAAACAAATGTCCCCTTCCACAGAAGTCCCCTGTGCCCCAGTTTCCCCCTTATTGGGCCTCCTCCATTTTCTCTTCTGATCTCCTGGCCTTCCTCTGTGCACCACGCTCACCTTTCTTTTCTTCACCTGTTCTGGCCTTTCCTTTCGCTTTTTCCCTCCTTTGCCTTCCTAACTGCAGGCTTCTCTTCCAGTCTCGGCTCTCTTTTCTTGCTGCCTGTCTCATTTAGTCCCACTCTTTGCACCCTTCTCCTGACACCTCCCTTTCCCTCTTTTCTTCCCCATGCTGCCTCCCCTCTCTCAGCACCTAGTTTTACTTCTTTTTAACCTCAGGGTAAGTGGCAGACATTGCCCTCTCAGGCCACAGTTGTAAACCGCCTCCCTACCAGCCTCGACATGCTTGATTGAATAGGACTGTGACTGAGGCAGAGAGAGCCAATTTGGGGGGCCTTTCCAGGGGACTGCCTGGTCACTCTGGGTCTGGTGTCAGCTGTGGACATGAGCATCAGACTCTGGAAGAGTACTGGTAGCCTAGTCTTTGTGGGCTCTGAGTATAGAATGGCTTGCTATCACCTAGGATGTCCATGATACAAATGGTCCCCGAAGCTCCCAAATGTCCTATAGGACTGCTTTTGAAATTTGAGTCCTCTGAAGGTTGGCATTGTGTTTTGGGCAGAAAGTTTAAATTGCCAGTGATGTAGGGAACAGGGTCTTGCAGACAGGCTACAGTGCCTAGACTAACAGGTTATCTCAGAACTGTGCTGGGTGCTTCTGGTTTCCTTTTTGTCCTTCCAGAGGAGCTTGTACCAATTTTGAATTTACCTTCTTCTTAAATCCAGCCTGTTCTTGAAAGCTCAGTACAATTTTTTTTATTAGGTGCTCCCAACCCCAGAATGAAGCCTTCTTAAGGCCTTTGACCATGGTGGCTGCAGCCGTTCAGTTTCAGGCAAACTGTGCATTCATGTTCTAATCATCAAGTCTCGTTCGGGATGGTTTCCTTTTCTCGTGTCTGGAGTGTTTTAGAACAATCAAAACTGATTCATGTTCACTTTGAAAATCAGAGAGAAATTCAGCTTAGAACTAGAATTAAGTACCGTCGTTGTCTATAAAATTGTGTTTTTCCTTGAAATCAGCCTGATGTTGGAAATTGAGGGATACATTTGATTCAGACTCTTCTAGGAAACTTCATGAATTGGTTTGGCAGTTTTTAGGACATAAGTTATGTTATGGGTGCCTTTCTCCCCTGGTTTCAGATGTGCATGAACCTGGATAGTAGTTGAGAGCTGGGGAGGGGGTGGAGAGCTGAGATGAGGTGGCTATTTTATGTTTTAGAGTTAGAAAGGGTGTGTGTGTGTGTGTGTGTGTGTGTGTGTATGACCTCTGAGACGCCCTGGTTTCCATGGTACAGTTTAGTCCCGGGCAAGTCCCAGTGTAGATTATCAGCCCCCTCCCAGCCTCTGAACTGCCAGCAGCATTAGTAAATGCTTGAACTTGGCTTTTGACAGCCTTCAGTGATGTCAGGGGCTGATTAATAGCTCCAAAGTCAATAATGTTGCTACCCTCTGTGTTTACTGGTTTGGCTCTTCAGTGGCCTGTGTCTCTGTTTCCCTCCAGATGGATCTGGATGTAAGAGAAGGAAGCTTACCGGGCAGAGGAGATTCTTTCCTAGACTCTTTCTACTTAACATTTGTCTCAAAGCCATTACAAAACCTGGGACTCACAGGCTTTCTTTGGCTTCTTTATTTCCCCTGAACCAACTTACAGCTGCTTGTCAATTGCAAAACACTCCACAAATTTTAGGAAAACTCCTCTACAGCAAATCCCAGTGCAGTAGAGTGGAATGGGATCCTCTTACCCATTCCTTTTGTGTGCTCTGAGACGGGACAGTGGTCAGGTCTACGTATCAGCCTCATCTTTTTTGTTTATTTTTTCTAGCTTTATTGCCATGTGGGACTGAGCTTCTTAAGGAAAGTGTTTTTATTAAGGCAGTGGTTGGGTTTTGTCTCGGCACGGTGCAGATACTATTTAAAAATTTTTAAAAATACCTAAATCAGATTGCTAATCTAAGAAAACGATATTCCCGCCGCCCCGAGATCTAGGTTTACAGGGGTTGTCCCTGTCGCTTTTGAAGATGGGTGTTAAAAGGAAGAGTTTCATCTTTAAAAAATCTCTTTACATTTGATGTATTTTAAAATGTGTTTCCTCCCGAGGTGTTTTTCTTAGACCTCAGCATCATGAACGCAGTAACTTGTGTCCCCAGCATAGACTGAGGTCGTCACATGTTCCATTGTTAGAAAAGGAATTGCAAGGAAAATGCTAGTAACGGAAGGAAAAATGGTATGGAGATGCTTGCCCTCGATAGCCCAGTAGACTGGCTGAAGATTACGCTTAATTTTACAAAGCGATTTAAGGTGTTTACGTAGTGAGCGTGATCGGACTTCAGGCTGACGACACCCGGTCTGCAGCCATTTCTGTCCGAGGGGTGCTGGGTGCTCGCTGGAGCGCTGCGCCTTCTACGTGGCCAGTTCTAACCACCCTTTCCCTTGCTTTCTGTTTCTGCTCTGTTTCAGGACATGGAGGAGTGAATCAGCTTGGGGGGGTCTTTGTGAACGGACGGCCACTCCCGGACGTCGTCCGCCAAAGGATAGTGGAGCTCGCTCATCAAGGCGTCAGGCCCTGCGACATCTCCAGGCAGCTTCGGGTCAGCCATGGCTGCGTCAGCAAAATCCTCGGCAGGTAAAGGCAGGAGCTCCAGGCTTCCCTTGACTTCCCAGCGTCGCAGTGAGAATTGCTGTGGCACTTCATCCACGTGCTCAGCACTTTAGAGTTTGCAAAGCCCTTTGGAGGCTATTCCATTGAAGTAGTCTTGGGAGACCGCAAGGACATGTGGAACGAGAACTCAGGAGGGGTGACATATTTTCTTTTCTTTTCTTTCTTTATTTTTTAGAGGGGAAGGGAAGGAGAGAGGCAGAGAAACATCAGTGTGTAGTTGCCTCTCACATGGCCCCCACTGGGGACCTGATCTGCAATTCAGGCATGTGCCCTGACTGAGAATCGAACCTGTGATTGACCCTTTGGTTCGCAGCCTGTGCTCAATCCACTGAGCCACACCAGCCAGGGTGGGTGACATGTTTTCTGAAAGCCTGGTTAATTATTCCAAAGAACCCAAGAGTAAGAGGTTCTTGGGAATTTCCCCTGCACATCTTAGGTGAGACCAGGGCTTGAGCAGGGCTGGGTGGGAAATCCACAAGTTAAAAATCACCAAAATTACCAGAGTTCAATGTTTTGTTTTAATGTTTCCAAAAAGCACAGTCCATTTTTTAAAGTCAGCTATCATTTTTAGTTTAGGGTTATCATCAACCTCATGTTGGGCTACAGTATTTTCCTTCTTTGCTTTGTTTCCTTCTTGTGACAGGCATTGTAAGTAGATATTAAATTAGAGGGGGGAAATTCAAACAAACACTAACTCTCAAGTTTGACATTTGAAAGTTGCCACTTGACCCAGCAATTTGCTACAAGCAAAATGCTACCAATGATGATTCTCCCAGAGGGCTGTGCGGCCTTTAGCATTCCTGTTGAATGGCGGGAGGGAAGCAGTTTTGAGATAAGGAAACAAACCTAGAGAAGCAAAGTGGCTGACCCAGGTCTAGCCTGTCAGTCAGTTCCTGGGTGGGGAAGAGGACTCAGGGACCCTCAGACCGTGCGCGTCCCACCACACCCTGCAGCCAAAGCCACAGGTTTGTTTCCAGGCGTCTGAAGTTGTTAGAGGTCTGACCCAGCAGCCAGGAGCAGCCTGGGCTTTTAGCTGTTCAATGTTCTCTCAGGGTTTCTCTCCCAGGGTCAGAGAACAGTTACCTTTGTCCTGTAGCTTGCATTATGGCTTGAGAACAGATGCCTGAATAGGAAATGAATATTTTGAAGTATGTCAGTGACATCATGACTTCCTGCTTGCTCTTTCTCTTCCATACGCTGGAATTTAAGAAATTCTTTCAGATGGAAGGGGATGACAGTTTTAACCTTGGGGAGCCTTGCTGGAGGCCAAGGAAGAAGTTTCAGGGACAGAGGTCTGGTGGTCCCTTTGGGGACCTTGATCCCTGTGCTCATTCCTCATTGCCCAACCCACCTTGAGTCACCTCAAGCAGTGGAGGCTGTGGGCTCCACTCCTGTTTGGTACTCGGCAGCAAACAAGCCCCAGGCAGAGTTCAAGGAGGAACATAGGACATCAGCTTGGTATTCCTATTAGATGGAGGCTTTCTTGGATGGGGAATCAATGTGAGAGTAGAAGAAAATAGAGGGAAAGAGATAGGGAAAAGAGAAAGAGAAAAAAACAAAGAGAAAGGAGAAAGAATGATTAAAAAAAAGAAACAGAAAGAAATGAAGACAAAAATAGGAGAGCAAAAGAAGGAAAATATTTTAGACTTTCTCAGCATCAGACTCTGGGAGCCGAATGGATCTTAGATATCTTCTTGGGAAGCCTCTTCATTGTATGGAGAGCGAGAGAGAGAAAAAGAAGGCCCTTCCTTTGTTTTTGCCGACACATCTGTGCCGAGCCGACATTTTGCTTGCTATTTGAAATCTTCTCAGGGCAAGATGCTGAGCCCTCCTCAGAGGGGATGTTTAGATGCCCGGTCTTCGTATTTCGGTGCCTGGGAGCCCTCCACATCTTCCCCGGAGACTGAAGGGACCAAGAATCCTCCCAGAGCCAGCCAGCCCGCAGCCTCCGACAACCAGAATAGATTTGTCACTAGGTAGAATGGCACTCGGAAGTTACGCGCCGCTCCGGTGCCTGGCCGTTTAAGTTGTCAACAATAAATTGGAATTTCATAGCTCATTATTTTCATAACTAAGAACCACAGTGGACAAAATGTCACTCTAATTAGAACTGCCTTTTAAGAAACAAGTTCAGCCCTAAAACAGTGTGACTGGGAATTTCTGAACTGGGGCTGTTCTATCCACTGATTTTTTTTTTTTTGTCACTAAAGAATTTGATGGGTGCACACGGGGTGACAGATTGTAGAGAGTGTGTGGTGTGTGGTGGCCATCATTTTCAGAGGCTGTGTGGCAAGGCAGGCAGAGTCCCCGGGGCCGGCAGAGACCCCCGTCATCTCAGGAAGGTGGCGGTCTGCCAGGAGTGTGGGCATTCAGTTCACAGAGTTCAAGGCTCCAGAGGGGCTTGAAAGGCACAGCCCAGTGGTGTGTGAGGCCCATTTAAATCCACCCAGAAAGCCAGGCTGTTGTCTTCTTTCACTAGAGCTCGTCTGGGAGGTTCAGCCGTTTGGAATTGGGTGGTATGTTACATAAACACTCAAAGGGTTTTAATCTACAACCCATGCTCTTTATATTTTGCAGTTTTTCTTAATCATCCTGCATTTCTGTCTTCACAACAGCACTGCAAAGCAGGCAGGGCCAACATCTTCCCCTTGTTATACAAATGGGATAACTGAGGCCCAGAGAGGCTAAGTGAGTTGGCCAAGGTCACACAGCAAGTTTGTGTCAGAGCCACTGACTAGCATCTATATCTCTTTGCTCCCAAACTAATGCCCTTTACACTGAACTGCGCTGTGTGTTGGTGGCTGCTGTTCGACTGCTGTGTGCAAGCCAAAGGGATGTGTGACTCTTTTGCTGAGAAGAAAGGGAGGTTATTTAGTCTGAACCCTCACTTGACACAGTTGCCAGCTGGGGTTTTGTGGAGTGTTAGGGTTGCCTTCTGAGTGTCTGGCCCATGTGTCAGTCAGAAGGAAGACAGAGCCGTCTCACGTGGAGAGCACAGCCTCCTATGGTTGGCACAGCTCAGGTGGGATGGGTGGAGAGCCCGAGCACTGCCCCCCGAGCCACGCGAGCAGGGCGAGTGCTGGGGGTCTGGTGGGGGTGGGGGCTTCGTCCTGCCACCTTTTCAGAGTTGCTGCCTGAATTGCAGTTCCATCAGTTAACATACGCTGAGTAGCCAGCACAAGGTGGTCTGTGTGTCTGTGGCCCTTGTACCACCACAGTGCCAGTCCTAGCAGGTACTTGGTGACTCTTGAACGAGTGAGTGGATGAAAGAAAATAAAATGCATGTTAAAATTCCTGGTAAACGGTAAAGCTTTCTGCAGTCGGAAGGGATGATGATGATTTAAAATTTTACAGCCAAAGCAGCAGTTGGCTCTCGTAGAAGGAACTTCAGGTTCAGAGTCAGGTTTAAAAGCTGAGGCTGCCCCTGACTTCCAGAAGGGAGTTGCACGGGTCACTTAGTCTTCCAATAATTGGTTTTTCTTTTTGTAAGACCCTGTGGGCCTTTTTGGGTCGCTGTGAGGATCCAGACCATTCAAGAAAGAGCTCCGTAGACCTCGGGGCACTGTGTGTAAATAACAGGGTGTGTGTTGATATTAACACCCGACTTTCTACTGTAAAATCAAAGGGATAATTGAAGGCTACAGAGATTGCTGCGTGGCTTGATTCAGCTACTTTTCTAAACTTCTGGCAAAGAAAAAGCATTTTCTTAAATAGTTCTAAAGACCTTTCTTAAGTCTAGTAAAAATTTTACAGCAATTACAGAAAGAAGGAGGATAGGCTGAGTTTTGCCTTATGGTCCAAATTTGTACATGACTCACTCTTGTCAATGAAAGAATCGAATTTCCAATTCCACATCACTGGTCCCAAACTATCTCATCCGTTTCTGGAATATTCACTAACTCGGCCCTGCCCAGACTTCCCTAGGCTGAGAATTTCAACATCTCTTCCAATGTAAGCAGCCATTGTTCTGGGTGACCTTTCCCACCCATCCTGTGAAAGGATCGCCTCTTCCCTTTGCCAATTATAAACTCTCGTCGGATTTGAAAATTACCCGTCATTTCTAAAACGTCTTGCTGGTTAAAAAGAAATTTCAACTGTAAGATAATCTCCTTTGCCAGAGGAAGTCAGGAATTCCTGTGGGCATGTTGAGAGAGACATCCAGTGAAGGCTCAGATTCAGAGACGGAATCAAGTCATTTCGTCGCCCTGAAATGATCTTTCATGGCACTCTTCTCCCTGGAATCGGTTTGCCCGTGAAGCCCTGACATCCTATTTGTGTTAACGAGGGAGTGCCGAGAGCATGGAAATGCCCTTAGAAACAGCGATTTAGCTCCGGGGAGGTCCCCGGAAGAGCTGCCGTGACCTGTGGGTGGGTTTCTTTTTGTTTTGTTTTGATTGGGTGGGTTTTGACCTATAATTCCAGTTAATTCTGAAATCCAACACTCCCTTTAATTTTATACCAGGGTTGTTGTTGTTTTTTTTCTTATGGATAAATAAGTTGTATGTTAGGGGACCATTTTACAGAAGACAGATGAGCCTGCTAGCGGGTGGGAGAGGTGGCAGATTAAAGGTGCCAGCCTCTCTCTGGGGAAATTGTAGTCAGGAGGCTGGGCCTCAGGTCTGGTTTGGCTGGTGGGTTTTTTGTGGCCGTGAGCAAGCCGTTTAGCCTCTGTGGGTCTCTGTTTTATACTGTAGATGGCGATCCGTTCATTTATTTATTCACTCATTCAAAACGTTAACGTGCCATGGAACTGTTGCAGGGATCAAATGGGAAAACTGACTTGGAAGTGTTCTGTAAACTGTGAAATGGCAGATAAATATAAAGGAATAAGTGAATTCATAGTCTCCTGACCATCTGTCCAATAGAAATATAATGTCACATATGAAATTTAAAATTTTCTAATGACACATTTAAAAAAGGAAAAGAAAAATAGGTACAATTAACTTCATGTTAATGTATAATGTATTTTATTTAACTCAATATATTAAAAATCATTTCGCCCTGGCTGGCGTAGCTCAGTGGATTGAGCGCAGGCCTGTGAACCAGAGTATCGCGGTTCGATTCCCAGTCAGGGCACATGCCTGGGTTGCAGGCCAGTTCCCAGCAGGGGATGCATGAGGGGCAACCACACATTGATATTTCTCTCCCTCTCTCCTTCCTTTCCCCTCTAAAGATAAATAAATAAAATCTTTACTAAAAAAAAGTTCCTCAAATATTTTTCAAAAATCATTTCAACATAAAACCTACATCAAAAATTATTAAGGAGGTATTTTACATTTTTTGTACTAAGTTTTGAAAATCCGGTATGTATTAAGTTTAAAGCATGCACCAGTGAACCGCACTTCAGATGTTCAGAGCCCTGTGTGGTGAGTGGCTGCTTCCCTGGACAGCACAGGTCTGAACCTTTTCTGGGCCTGTTTTCTGCTGCCAGCATCCACTTGGCTGCTTCCTCGCGGCTAAGCCCCTTTCTCCTTGGTCCTAGGTACTACGAGACGGGGAGCATCAAGCCGGGGGTAATTGGAGGATCCAAACCAAAGGTCGCCACGCCCAAAGTGGTGGAAAAAATAGCTGAGTACAAACGCCAAAATCCCACTATGTTTGCCTGGGAGATCAGGGACCGGCTGCTGTCAGAACGAGTGTGTGACAATGACACGGTGCCCAGCGTCAGTTCCATCAACAGGTGAGAGGTGGCTGCCTGTGGCGGGGCTAGGGGTCTGGGTGCCGTGGGGGGTCCTGGAAGCTCTGTGTGTGCCTGTTCTGAAGATCTGGTCTTTCCTTTCATGAAGGCCCTTAGGGCCATCGGACCAGAGAGGAGCTCACTGGGCCAGAGAGGTCTCTCTACTGCCCTTTCTCTCCAAAATGGGCAGGAGTTCTTGACCCCAGGAGAGAAGGCCATGCCAACCCTCTGGCTCCTTGAGATTCTTCTGAGTCTCCATCATTCTCTTTACTGCCCAACTCTGTGTGGAGGCTTAACCGTGAATTGCCTTGATTAGGCCTTCACATGTCTCTTCCTGGTAATCCAGGCTCAAGGTCTTAGCACTGGCCCATTTCAGAACTTTCCAGAAAGAAAAGTCCATGCATCCAGCTGGGGCAGGGGTTTAGCCACTGAGTGTGGGAAACGCAGCCCTGATGCCGAGTAGGGAGATTTAGCCCCCTGTCTCAGGTGTGCCACTGGCTCAAAGTGTGACCTTGATGGAGCTCTTCCTCTCTTTGAGCCCAGGGCCTTGGTGGTTCCACTGTGGGTCTGTGACCTTTAAGAGTGATGTTCTGGGTGCTAAGATGCTGTGGAGTTAGAGAGTTGCTCTCTCCCCGGCTGCCCCAGATCTTACCATGGACAGAAAGAATCCGGGGAACCCCATGCGTGCCAGGCCCTGGGCCTTCCTAGGAGCCACAGTGGCTCCTTCTCCTCTCCAGTCGGACCCAGGCTACATCAGACAGAGCTCTCAGAGCTTTAAAAATAAATTTCTGGAAGAAACTTTTCCACTGCAGGTGGTACAGTCTCAACTCTACTTAAAGCCACAGAGTCAGGGATGAAGTTTTGAGATAAACAGAAATGGTTGTTCTATAAACTCCACAAAAAAGAAAAGAAAAGAAACCAGCAGACTGAAAACTTGAGCAGTTCCCATTTCTTCAAGGTCATGCCCTACCCTTGTCAGCGCCGAGTCTGTCTGGGCCAGGGAAGCCCTCACACACCCCAGAAAGGGTGGTCAGACTAGAATGTCTCTGAGATTCCCTCTGGTCCTGCCCGTTATTCCTTCCATGGCAACTCAAATGCACAGAATCACTGTGTGGATACAAGATGATGTTTTGAGCCTCGGCATTTGATAAACCTTTAGCCCATTCTTCTTTTCTCAGTAAACCTTTACCTTGGCCCTGACCTCCTGCAGGGTGCTGAGGAGAGAGAGGGAAATCGGGAACACAGTCTCCCAGTCTTGGTTCCAGAGGAACTGCTCACCGAGGCTGGGATTCTGGTGTGCACGTGGAAGTCTGGACAGCCTGAATTATGCCCGACACAACAACTCCTGTGGTGGGCTCAGGAAGAATCGCTCCTGCTCTTTTTCTGGATTGCGAAGGGGTCCAATGTGCTTTGTGCATCCTCTGCTTTTGGCTTGTTGCAGGATTTCCATGACACAAAGCAACATGTTTTTTTCTGGGTCTCCAAAAGCCGTAGAAGGAGGCACATGCTGCCCAGAGCAACGGAAGAGCAGCCAGCCTGCTGTGCAGAGGGAGCTCCGCTAAACCTGTGGTCAGGCTCTGGGGGCCCAAAGATTTCCCGGTGTGGGGTATACATGAAGTTGGTGGATCAAAAAGTAACTAGGTTGCTCTATAGGCCAGACATGATGTAACAAGCAAGGCAGGGCAGGCATAAAATGATAGGGAGACGTTGGGTCTGTGGCAGACCACACAGGCTTGTTGGGAAGGGGCAGTGGCTTCTCGGCCCCAGCTGAGCACTGCCAGGAGCATGGGCCCCGTGTTGGCCAGCCTCTTCCCACCCTTAAAGAGAAGCTGGAAACTAGGACTTGCATGTACGTGAGTGTCTGTATGCTTGTGTATATGAAATCTCTCCATTTTTAGATGGTAGCACCTAATTTCCATGAAAAGATGCTGATGTTTTCTTGTAACTTAGTTGCAGGGCTCCAGCTTCCATCCTCTGTAACATGAGGAGGAAAACTGTTTCGAGATGAATTGGTTTGAATGTATTTTAGGAATATATACCCAGCACACGAAACCAGTGAGTGTGAACTTCATGAACTCCCCTTGCCTCCTCATTTGTAATAAAGAATGAATATTACCTATAAAAGTCAAAAAGCAAGTTATTTGAAGGAAACACACAAAATAGAGAACGTGATGATGACGGATGTGGTGGAGGCTACGAAGAGAGCACGTGAGTGAGCGTTTAGGGAAACGGTGGGTCGGCTGATGCTTTGTGCCTGGAGCTGGGCTGCGCAGCAGTGGCGGGCGCCGCTCTGACCGCTGGTGGCTGGGGCCATGGCTAGCCTCGGGGGCCTCCTGGCCGTCCCAATCCATAGTGGCGACCCAGCTGGCTGTGCCTCTAAGGTGCTTTCACAGCTGTGGTCTTCTACAGCCTGCAAAAACCTCCATCTGCCCTGTGACAGGTATAAAAACTGAGGCCCAGAAGGGGAGTGGGGAGGAGCAAAGATCTTGACATAGAGAAGGTAGTCGGGCCTGGGGGCCTTGCTGGTAAGAGGAGAGTTTGTCTCTTCCACCACTGCCCCGTCGGACTCTGCCAGCGACAGAGCTGAGGATCCATGCGAAGAGAGGCGAGGAGTAAAGCAGTCATTCCGTCTTCTTCTCAGAGCCTGGCAGCCTGCAGGTTTTGCTGCCTGTCTTTGGGCTTCCTCTGGGGTCGGTGCCCCCTCTCTTGTGCTCCTCAATAGTGGCCCCTCTCCAGGAGCGCTCTCCGGCTCCTCACCACGTTCTTTGGTGAGAGGTCTCCGGTGTTTTTAATAATCGGCCCTACCATGCAAATTAAGTGTGGGACAGTGTCCTGTTGCTGCATTCCGTTCTCCCTCCCCCAAGAAGCCCGAGCCATCTCAGCAGTTTTACTTTCTATGTGAAGGCAAAGCTCCCCCCGCCCTCAGATGGATACAGCTTCTCAACACTGTCTTACAAATGTCTCTGTGTGAAAGGGTCCTCGCTCTCCCAACCCCTGCCTCGCTTGGAGGCAACTTCTCACTATTCCCACTCTACAAACATCTAGGGAGGGCGTGGTGGCTGGGTTTTTAGCTTTTCCAGGGGCCACAGGGTCATCTTCACTGTCCACCCCTAGAAGTGTGTGCTTTCCCTCTGGTATCTGGGGGACCAGCCTGGGGACCCATGACTGGCATGGGGTTAAACAGCACTGAACCAGTCCTGCTAAGCTTATGGGAGATTTCCTGGGACACAGGCTGTCATGTTGCGGTGGCTCCTCAAGGACAGATCCACGCCGAGCTGCTGCACAGGCGGCACGGTGGGTCTTCGGATGCAGCCTGAGCGTTGGGGGGAGCTGACAGGCCCAGATGTAGGGGCACAGGAAGCCGTCCTTCTCCTATTCCAGTCCCGTGGCTCCGAATCTCAGGCCACATGCTGGGAACCTTCCCAGTCTAGAGGGGCAGCTCCGTTCACGTCAAGTGGTTGTTGCCATGTGAGAATGTAGGGCCAGAATTGCCAGGTGTTCTGTTTTTTGTTTTTGTTTTTGTTTTTCCAAAAGAAGCTAGAAGTTTGTGTATTTATGTAAAAGCTCCTAACTTAGAAACATGGGTAACTAATTCAAATAAAAATAAATATACGGTGCAGGCCAAACAAAAATTCTCCAGTGGGAGATTTAGCCTGAGGGTAACAGTTTGTACAGCCTGCTTTTAACCCTAACTTGGGCAGCAAGCCTTGGAGACCGTTTACCCAGACCCTCCCGCTGTCTTCCCCACACTGGTCACAGGCCTGGGTGTCACCTGTGGGCCCTCTCCCGACCCGGCCCAGTGGACCCTGGATTCCTAGCACCACCGACGGCCCAACTGTATTTTGGCTGTACCAACGGCAGCTTGGCCGGTGCAATAGACACGGGCACTTCTTCCGTCTTCTCTCCCCGTTTCCTTTTTTAAGGCAGCACGACTTTCTCTTTCAATGCTATTGTGTGCGGGCAGAGAGGGGGTGGTGGTGAGGAGACCTAGGCTTCCAAAAGAGCAGGGGTGATGTTGAAATGGCATCCTTACAAACGCCTGTACTCTCTAAGTTCCTCAGGCTTTTCATCCTCAGAGTCTAAATGGATTTTGACTCCAAATAGGCCTTATGCCTCATATAGCACTTATTTAGCAGAGGGACCACTTGCTTTGTGACTCAAAAAAAAAAAAAAAAGTGTCAGGCATGGGAGCTGCCTTGCTGTGTGACCCCGGGCAAGTCACTGGAGTGCTCTGGATCTCAGTTTTCCCACTCCGAGGAGCTAGCCGGTGCTGAGCTCCCTTCTCTGTGGGACCCTGAGTTGTAGGATGCTCACGTGGCGCCCAGGACCGCGCTCACGCTCAGTAGAGATAAGGCTGCACCTTGCAGTGCGAGCTGCCAATTGGCCCCCACGGTCTCTTGTTTAGAAAAGGCCCTGAGGGTGGCTCTTATTGTGACAAGCCTTGATGTTGCTTGTTATTTTTTTATTTTTTATTTCTTTAGAATTGCTATGATTCAATTAGTCTCGTTGTTGCCCCTGTTATTTCTCCTCAGTGGAGACGATGCTCTTTGTCCTTTTCTTGGCAGCTGCTGCAAGCAGATGGGCACAACTTCCACCCCTGGGGACAGCTTTGGAGGGCTTCCTGTAATTCGGGTCTCGCCCATAGAGGACAGTCCCACTGCAGCCCTACAGTCGGCTGTGGGGATGGTCACCTTACCTTACCCCCCAGCTCCCACGGGGACCCATGTGTTTTTAAGACTTTTTGGATATATGACCCTTTTAAGGTCGAAGCTGGTCATTAATCTTTATGAAGATCTTACTGACAATACCAGCTAACATTTATTGAGCGCTTACCTATGCAGCAGCCTCTGCTCTAAGTCCTTAATTATTAACTTCATCCTCATAATAACCTTTTGAAGTAGGAATGAAACTTGGTTCCATTTTACAGATGAAGAAACTGAGGTGTGGAGGGGCTAAGTAATTTAGCCAACATCATGCAGCTGGCAAATGGCAAGAGCGGGATTCAAACCCCAGCCTGGTTCTGGAACCGGCACGCTCCGCCATTGCTGTGCAGCTGCCCTCAGTGATTCATAACAGTTGATGATGTTTTATGAATGATTTATACATATTTTAAAAGAAAAATAAGGAAGCTATAATTTTATTTTTTAAAAATTTTATATTTATTTTCAGAGAGAGGAGAAGGGAGAAAGGGAGGGAGATAAACATTAATGTATGGTTGCCTTTCATGCACCCCCTCGCTGGGGACCTGGCCTGCAACCCAGGCATGTGCTGCTGACCTGGGAGTCACAGGCTGGCACTGAATCCACTGAGCCACACCAGCCAGGGCAGGAAACCATAATTTTCTTTGCTTTGCTTATGTACAAATTTAATGGCCCGTCAATGCCTTAGAGTTAGGACTTCATGCTGGACTTCAATGGGAAATAGTTGTGATATATTTTACCCTATATTTGTATATAGATAAACTATATTTCCACCTGGTATATGCATATGTTCACATAGCAATATCTCTTTAGATACACACACACGTATACACAGAGAAGATGACAGACAAAAATATAAAGATTAGAGCAGATGCTGGCTTAACTCCAGGGGATCAAAAGGATTACTTCACTCCCAGCTATTTGTCAATATGCCGCATGTTTGCTTAGTGAAAATACGTGGTTTAAATATTGAAGAAAACAAAACAAACAAACACTCTGAACGTTTTTGAGGCAATGCTCATGCTGACTTGTTAAAAAAGGGCTAACGGCTATGGAGACTCGCGTGGCCTGGGCTCCAGAGGCCTGAGGTTGGGCGTGAACAGAAACGTTTGGTCCAGGCTACGCGCCCAGGATGCTGAGCGCCCTCGGTGCCCCACGCTGAGCCGTGAGATCACAGAGGGTGACGACAGCTCGGTGAGGTTCAGTGGAGGCACCTGCCACTCTGTCCTTCCTTTCCATTTGCACCAACTGGAGACCCAGGGCAGCTTGAAATGAACGTCCAGAAATAATGGCCTGGAATGGGAAAAGATTTTCCCTACAATGTTGAGTGAAAAGAGTAGGATGTAAAACCATCTACATGGTTTAAATCTGGGTTCTGTTAAGGAAAAAAAATGGGTGTTTCCAAATGTTCACCAGAATGCTCGCATAAAGGAAATACAGTTGACCCTTGGACAATGCAGGAATTATGGGTGCTGACCCCTGAACAGTAGAAAATCCATATATAACTTAATTCCCTAAAAACTCAACTATAATTGCCCCTCGGTGTCCTCATAGGTTGGTTTTGGGACCTCCATGGAGACCAAGATCCTGAATGCTCATGTCTCTTGTATAAAATGGTGTAGAAAAAACGCAACAGGTGGCTCTCTACATCTGCAGATTCCCAACCTGAGACTCAAAATACTGTTTTTGATTGGCAGTTGGTTGATGGGTGCAAAATGGAGATACTGTGGGTTGACCATATAGTTCTTGAAAAAAGTTTGCGTGTAAGTGGACATGCACAGTTCAAACCCATGTTATTCAAGGGTCAGCTGTACACAGAAATGTGGTTTTAGATGTCTTCTTTAAAGTGGTCATCCAAATAGTCTACAATGACACAAAGTACTTCTATGATTAGGAAAAACTCTAATAAATGTTCTTTTAAAAGAGAATAGTTGGTGGTTCGAATAGAACTTTTCTCAAAGAGGCTGAACAATTTATTACCACCCATCCTTTTCTCAAATGCCAGGAAAGGAACTTTCTTGCAGACACTAAAGGAACTTTTTGACTTGGCCATGGTCAACACAGGGGCCTTAGGATCTCAGGGAGGCCCCATGTGTTGTCCCAGCTGGAAATTTGCAAAGTAAGCTTCCCAGAGTCCAAGGTTCTGCATAAGGATACCAGAGCTGCCAGGTGGCAAAGGGGAGAGCACCACTATTATCCCTTTTATACACTGAACTTTTCCATGATTGAGAGGGAGGAAGAGAAGGATTCAATTACTTGAAGTAAGCAGAGTGCTGTGTTCTAATTACTTCACTGTATTGAGGCCCACAATGGAACCGACTTGCCCAGGGTCACAATCAGGTTCCTACTTGAATGGAAGCAAGGTCCCTGGACAGACAGGACAGGATACCCCTGGCTCCTAGCCCCAAGATGAAGCATTTTTCATGAGGTTTTTGCAGACTTCTCTTAGCAAAGCCAACCAAGCTCTCTTGGCAGCACTTTAACCCTTTCTACTTTCAGAGCAACTCATACATCCCCTTTTGATGGGTGGGATGTCACTTCTGTGGCTGTCTAAGGCAGAGAAATAGGAGCTTGAGGGCTTCCAGGGGACAGAGAGGTCATCTTGGCCAGTCCTTTCATTCCACAGATTCTGGGGGCTGAGGTCCAGGGAAGGGAAGGACCTCCCTAATGTCACTCGATGAATTCATGGAGCTGGAGCTGTTTCCGGGAGAGGGATGCCTTCATCACATTAGCACATCATCCTTTTCTGTACGAGAGGCACTTGATGCCCTTGGAAGGGTGCAAGTTACCCAAAGACACCCAGGGAGGTAGGGACTGAGTTGGGACTAGTCCGTGATTCTTCCAACCTCCTAACTTCTAATCCGGGTTTATAATCTCCCCCCTCCTCTGCCCCAGCTTGAGCTGTGACCCAGCTTGATATGGGTTTTCTGGTTGTCCGTGCGTAGCTAGTTGAGATCTCTTTTCTGTTATGGTAAATAGCCATTTATTTTTTCCCGCTGCCCACAGGATCATCCGGACAAAAGTACAGCAGCCACCCAACCAGCCAGTCCCAGCTTCCAGTCACAGCATTGGTAAGAACTTAAAAAAAATTTAAAAATCAAATGGGCTCCAAATATTCTAAAGAACTTTTAATCATTCTTATGGACAGATAATTCTGCATAAAACACTTCGGCACACGTACTAATGCGCCTTCTTTGTCATTCTCCAAGGGCTGAACCCGGTAAATGAATTTTATAAATACTGCTAAAAGGTTTTGAATTTTACTGATTATTATGATAAATAGCTTTCAGCATGAGACAGAAAATTGAAATCTAAGCCAAAAAAAAAATCCACTAATGGGGGTCTATAGAATGTCAGATAATTAAAGTAATAAATCAAGAAAGGGGTACTTATTCATAACATTTTCTGCATCATTAGTCAGTAAGTAGTTTTGAATGTGTTTTTTTCTTCTATCAACGAGCCCTTCTACAACTCTCTGTGCACTTGCAGTCTTGGGTGAAGATGTGGCAAAAGTTCTCAAACTTTCTCTCTCTTGCTTTGATCTCACATAAACCATCAGAGGCTGCCAGCAGGGCTTCTGACACTCACAGTGAAGTCGGACAGCGACCATGACTTGTAAGAATGGGAGTCATATTTCCTACTAGTTGACCTTTGAACAATGTGGGGGTTAGGGGAGGCATGGTACCTTCCTGCCCCTCTTCCACAGTTGAAAGTCTGGGTATAACTTTTGACTGCCCCCAAACTTCACTGTCCTTCAATATCTGCGGTGGGTTGGTTCCAAGACCCCTGCGGATACCAGAATCTGCGGTGCTCAAGACCCTTATATGAGATGGCACAGAATGATGCGTACAGTAGATCCGCTGCACCCGCAGACTCCCAGCTGGTGAGTTGGTTGGACCTGCAGATGCAAAAAGACAGTATACAGTGGGCTGTCTGCATATTTATTTTTAAAAATCCACGTTTAAGTGGACCTGCGCAGTTCAAACCCATGCTGTTCGAGGGTCAGCTGTACTCGAGAGTTCAGAAGTTTCCCTTGGCCTTCCCTTCTCTGCAAAGACATGCGTCTAATTAACGCATATTATTTCTTTGCCTGGGATAAAGGAAACCCCTCTGCTTAGCTGGGGGAAGGTTATTCTGCTGTAAGAAAGTGGGCAACTACTCAGCAAGCCTCTGACAGATCTGGCTGACAGTCCCTGCCAACCTCACTTAATCATGCCGCGGACTCTGTGTAGTTTCCACACCTTTGCCACTTCTTTAACTGGAAATTCGAACACCCTGTGGTGATGGGGACCTGGCAGAGGCCCGGCTTAGCATTCTGGCTCTGTTTTGAACTCGCCCGGTACACTGTGTAAGTGCCTTCTTCACCTTTCGGAGCCTCAGTTTCCCTGTTTGTGGACTGAGGTGAGCCCCCTCTGAGGGCTCTGGTCCTCCATCATTGCCTCTTTGGATGAAGGTAAGACAGATGCCTCCCTGCCAGAAAAGCATTATTCATTTAGTAATTGATTCAAAAAGCATTTGCTAACCCCTGCTATGCAGACCTTGGCATGGGAGACTACTATTTTAACGAGGGGGCAGGACAAAATCCCCCTTCTTAAGGGCTTCTCAGTCTCATGGGAGACTGTCACAGAGAGAAGTTTGCAGAGCCCGAGATAAAGCTCAAAGAGAGAGTTTGGGGTGCCCTGGTGGCCAAAGGGAGAGAACCACCCGCTTTGCTGAGCTGGGGCCGAGAGAACTGAGAAAGGCTCCTGGGGAAATGTTTGCGGCTGAGATTTCACTGGTGTGGCTTTTTCACTATTTCAGGTCACTTAGCAATGAATAGCAAACTAGGAGTAACTGACAATATTCTTTCAATTGTGTTAGAGGAATAATTTCACAACACTTATAGGTTAGCAGAATGCTTTATGTCCAAAATTTTTGTAAAAACCCTATCATACAGGTGTATACAGCTCCTTATGGTTTACGCACTTAAGGAGGAGTGAGGAAAGAGAGGCTTAGAGAGATTAAATACCCAGCCCAAGGTCACCTTGCCAGTAAGTGGTAGAGCAAGAATTGGAGCCCGGACCTTTGGAGTTCAGTATCGTCACGAAATGTTGGAACTTATCTCATTGGCTCTGTTAGCAACCTGGTGAGCTTTAGTTATATGTAGTTGTTGTTTAAAGTACCAAATGACTTGTGGTCTTCTTTCTTCCTCTGTTCTTTGCACCTTAACACAGAAAAGGTTGTGAGATTTGCATAAATCTATTTTGAGTAGCTGATTCTGGTGAAAGAAAAGAGAAGTTAACGATTTCTGCTTCTCCGTCTCCTAAGGAAGAGCTAAAATCAAACTCCAAGAAGAAAGGCGCTGGTCCCTCTAGGTCTGCAGGAGCGAGAGCTGGATGTGCTCCAAGGAAAGCAACCAACAGCTTCTCGCACAGTCACCACCACTTCTCACAATTTCCTACACGGTCCCGTCAAAGGCAGCTCCACCTGCCTCCAGCTACTTATAGCCCAAGGAAATGTGTCTGAGATTGGTGTGTAGGTTTTAATGAACCAAGAAAGAATTCCCACGGCTCCGAAATGGAAATTCAGCTGTACAGCTTGGGACGACCCTGATGACTGACTGGCTGGCTTCTCCCTTGGACTCTAGGGGCCAGGAGTTAATGCAAAACTCGCACAAAACCTCCCCTCCCCCGTTCTTATCATTATGAACTCAGAGATCTGGCTTCAGTCACAGCAAGTTGCTGACTCCTGCCTACGTTTCTGGGCAGCGGAAACCTAGACTTGAAGTCAGCAGACCCACGGCTGAGCCCGGTTGCTACTGCTTCTTGGCCAGATGGCTTGGAACAAATCACTTCACCTCGGTGAAGCCTCAGTTTCTTCACTTGCTAAATGGGGATAAATAATAGCACTCAAGGTTGTTGCAAACATCGAATGAAAAGCGCCGTATTATGTGAAGCATGCTATTGGTTTTCATTATCAATCAGTGAAGTACAGATTACTGTAGGGGTTAAGACTAGCTTCTGGGTTTCAGTCACCACTCTGCTTGTTATTAGCTGTGTGACCTTGGGCAAGTCCCTTACTTTCTCTGAGCCTTGGTTCCTTTATCTTTTCCATGAAATAATAAATGAGCTAATGTATAAGATTGTTCTCAGAATTACATGAGAAGATGCCTCATGCCTGGCACAGAGTAAGTTCTCAGAAAATGTTATCATTATTATATATCAGTATCATGATGTATTATTTTTAGTACTCTATCGATCTTATGTAATTAATATTAAAATCTAGGTGAACCGGAAGGAGAAAAGACAGCGAGGAACTTTAAAAAGAAGGGACAGTCCATCAGTTGGAGCTCGGTTGGCCCTGGGTGCGAGAGTGCAGGCATCTGAGTCTGCAAAGAGGGGTGGGGGCGTAAGTGGAGTGAACCCACCTAATGAGAAAGTCTATGTGGTTTTCATCACTGGCTGGTGGAGGGCTCCAGCTCCCTTTTCTCTTCCCTGTCTCCCTGCTTCCGGTGTCCTTGGACAGGCTGGGACTTGAGCTAGTGACCTTCTTACACTGTCCCTTGCTCCTTTCTGTACCGTCGGTCCTCCTCACTGCCCATCCGGCCCTGGCCCCTTTCCCAACAGCAGAGAACCTGGGCAAATGGTTGGGGGGCTGCCCAGGTGTGGCTGCTGCCAAAGGGCGAAGGTCCTCAGCACGCACCTCTTCCCCGTCTGTCACTGCACTCCCACCCTCGGCAGTCACACCCAGCCCAGTGCCGAGTGAGTGCCTTTGTTCTGGCCCTCTGCTTCTGCTCCCTCTGTCCTGGCGCATGTCCACGGCCCTCCTGCTGGGCCCTGACAGCCCCTCTCCCTCTGCGCAGTGTCCACGGGCTCCGTGACGCAGGTGTCCTCGGTCAGCACGGACTCCGCTGGCTCTTCGTACTCCATTAGCGGCATCCTGGGCATCACATCCCCCAGCGCTGACACCAACAAGCGTAAGAGAGATGAAGGTAAGAGTTGCGGGCAGGCCCTGTCTGCGATGACCTGTCCGGGCCTGCTTCAGGGTGCTCTGCTCACCCAGGGGTGGAAGCAGAGATGCCTGCTGAGTACCCCCTGACCTGCAGAGCACAGAAGCTCCCCTTCCCTGGGAATGGAGACCCGGAGAGGGTCAGACAGGGAGCCACTGGGGCTGTGGATTTCTTGCTGGCCTTCCCCCATCATTCCCCCTTGAGTGGAGAAAGGTGTTGGGCCCGAGCTTTGTGGCCTTTAAGGAGGCCTTGTGTGTACAGATGTGACACAGGGTGTGGAGCGTGTGCACTCAACACCGCAGTCCCCTTTGTGAGCGAGCCCTGGAGGAGCGGGAGGGGCCGGGTGTCCTGCAGCGAGGCGGGCAGCCTGGGGTGGAGGGGTCAGGGCCGGACTCTGCTCCCCTCTCGGAGAAGGCCTCCAGAGGGGGTGATGGTGGGGGCTGAGGAAGTTAATAATCATCTGATCTCTGCCCCGGGGCCTGGAAGAAAGGAGTGCGGGGCCTCCTGGGGATTACAAAGACCGCAGTCCTCCCCCTCGTGGTACCGGCTGGGGCTTCTGGAGCTGGCTGCCCGGTCCTGGGCACTGGCCCACCTTAACCCGGCTCTCCTTTCCCCTGGATGGGCTGCCAGCGCAGCTAACATTAATGGGTTTGAGAGGGAAAGTGAACCCCTGGGAGTCTGTAAAACCTTAGTTGGGAAGGGAAAAAAAAAAACAAACAGGCCTTGGTCGAGGGCCTGAGAGCAGCGTGACAGAAATCTTGATTCCATTATTCTGTTCCTCGGCACAATTCCCATTCTCAGCCCCTGTAAGGGATGCATGTTCTGGTGAGCCCATGCCTAAGTACTAAAGATCTGTAACTAGAAAACAGAGTCGGCCCACCAGTGGATTGGCCTGTGGTCTGCGCATCCCGGGCACTAAAGACGCTGAGCCTGCGGCCTCAGTTCGGAGTCCCGTGTGGGGGCGAATCACAGCTTTGGGAACCTGCCTCACCTCTTTGCCCTGCTCCTGCCACTCAGGGCTGATGTCAGAGATCCTGACTCAGTGGGTGGCTGGGCAGTGTTACTGCAGGAGGAAGTGGGCCTGCCACCTCTGGTCCTTCAGGGGGCTGGTGGTGTCATCTGTTCTCCTATTGTCACCTGGGCTCAAAGCAGGTGTGCCAAGCTGGGGCTGGGCTGCATTTGATCACGATGGAGGGGCCAGCTGGGTGCAGCTTCCTTGGAGGCTGAGGGAGCCAGGTTTTTGGAGGAAGAAAAAAATCCAGTGTGATGTGCACTGCCAAGCAGACAGGTCCTGACGGAGGGTTGTCTTACTGTGTTTGTGGAGGGCCAAACCGACTTTCAGCCTCTGGTCAGGGGTCACTGTTTAACCTCCCGGCTGCTTTCAAAGGTGTCGAACGGTCAGCATGTGGGTGTTGTTAGTCTAGACTGCTCTGTGCTGGTCAGATCATTCTTGTGGCCTATTGGGGGTATCGACCTTTAATGGGGACAGTGACCGATTAGGGTGCGTCCAGATGGGCGTGGCCTGGGTGAAGGGGGACTTGGAGAATACCTCAAAGCTCTAGGGATATTTGGCACAAAGAAGAGAAGAACGAGCAGAGCTGGACTGTTTCCTTGAAGTACTTGGAGGGCTGGCTGGGAAGGCGAGAGCTGTGAGACTGCTGTGTGGCTCCCAAGGCCACGTGTGGCAGACTCAGAGGACATTTCAGTTCAAGTATAAAAAAGAACTTTGTGAATATGAGAATGGTCTAGGGCAGGTCTAGAGAGGTGGTGAGTATTCTGTCACTAGAGTTATGTGAGTTGAGCCTAGGTAGCCTCTTAAATTGGGCTGCCGTACAAATGGTGTCAGGAATCAGGTGCAGGATTGGATGATCTTTGAGAACCTCCCGACCGTGAAATTTACGACTCAGTCCTGATCTCCAGAAAGACTTGGGAGGTGACCTAGTCTGTGTTCTGGGGGCTAAGGGGGAGTGACTCGATGGTCTCAGCAGCTTACGGGATTGGGGAGAACGGGAAACCAAGCAGCAACCAGGGCATCCCACTCCCTGCCCTGCAGCGCGGAGAGTGTGTGGTTGAGCGGATAGGTGGGGCGGAAGCGCCCTTGCTTGTACCAACACGCCGTCTGGAGGGAGTGCTGCCCAGAGTTTCCAGTAGAAGCGCTTGGTCAGAGTGGGGTGAGAAAGAACCAGCCGCGGGGGAAGCACAGGGGAATTTCCGGGCGACCTGGAAGGCCGGCCCGTTGGGACAGCAGACTATGGCGCTGTTTTTCTCAGGAGACCTCAGCAGCCGGGGTTGGGGGGGGGGAGGGTGACGGGGCAGAAGAGACATCAGGGAGCAAGAGGAAGACTACTGAGGGCTCTCACCCCTGTTTCTCAGATGAGGTGACTGGGGCTGGGCAAAGTGGAGTCACTCGTTCAGCTCTTGTTCAGAGGCATCTGTACTTGGACTTGGGTTTTGCCCTGTGGTCACTTTCTGGTGCCACCCTTCTGCCCAGGCTTCGGGGCAGGACTGGGTGATAACAGAGTCCACTCACTGCGGGCCTGCCCTTTAGAGCTCGCAGGCCAGCATGGTTGACTGGCAAGCCCAAAGTCCCTTCGGCGGGCAGTGTGCGCGGCGAGATGCGATGAGGGGGTGACAGGAGGGGAGAGCAAAGCAGGAGGAGCTGGTGTTGACCAAAAAGATCTGAGAAGGCTCCTCAGAGGAAGTGGCCTTTTATTGAGAAAAAAATATTTTCCACTGCTTCTATTGTTAAATTAGAAATTTAATTATTCAATTGCACCAGCCACATTTTAAGTACTCAGTAGCTACATGTGAATACAAGTGTGTGGCACATAGTAGGTGCTCAATAAATGCTCCTTGGTACAATGGATGGTCACAGGTCTGTAGAGGCTTCACAGTTAGTGAGGAAGGTGTGTGTAGGGATTCTCAACTAGTAGTAATTCTGTTTAATATTTCGGACTTCCACAGAAAACTCTTGAGTAAGGAATTCTGCAGTGAAAACAAGTAAGTTAGAATGAATGCTGTTAGACCACTGGATTGCCGAGTGCTCTTTCAACCTAGAGATTCTAGGCTTCCCCTGAGGGTGTTTGCCTCCAAGACAAGCTTTGGGGATGTGGCCACTATGTCGGTATCTCAGATGGTGGAGGCAACAGATAAGGTCCCTGGGGACTCTGAGAGCATCTGGGGCAAGTGAAAGGAGGCCACAGGAGGCAGAGTATGGCTCAGTGCAAGGGACAGCTTTTAGGCGACTGCCAGTCTGCACCAAGGATAGAAGCATTGTCTTGGAAAGGCTGTGAGTTCCTCGTCTTCTGAGATGTGAGCAGGGGCTGGACAAAGGGGAGCAGAAGAACCGAAAAAGGCATTCCGGTTTGGACTCCGTGACTTCCGAGGGCTGTAACACCCTGGTAGCCCGTGCTTCGATAACTGCCCTGTGTCTGGAAGAGGTTCTGCCTGCTTGTTTTCCCTCCTGCCATCTGACCCTGAGTCTGCCATTCACACAGACTTGCCTGGGCAGGGACCATGTAGTACGGGGGTGTTTCCGTCCCCAGCCCGGCCCCATGGCAGAGGGCCGGGCACAGAGCTACTCAGGAGGCTTGTGGATGGGATGGCCCGAGAGCCAGGTTAGGGCGCTGCCCAGCTATGGCTTGCAGCGTCTTGTCTCTTGGTTGAACTGACCAGAGAGCTGTCATGGAGGAGGTGGTGGGGCTGGCCTCAGGAATCCAGCTGGGCTAGGGGGACAGAGCCTGAGGCGGGGCTTCCCTCCCCGGAAGGCCCAGAGGAGGCGGTGGCGGGGCTGGACTTGGCAGAGCAGGCAGAGCTGTGAATAGCAGCCATGGGTGAAAGGGCAGCTCCAGACCCGCTGTTCCTTCCTGGGCCTTTGATCTCTGGTGGGGCCTCCTTCCGCCCCCATTCAGGTCCCCTCGACCTCCCCCTCCCCTCATCCCCCCAGTGTTTGAAAGGCCCTGAACACACCGAGGTCAGCGGAGTGAGAATCCCTTTCACTAGCTCAGAAAGCCACCCCGTCCAGCACCAGTGTGGACTCTGGGGACCAGAAGCTTCTTTTCAGGCAGCAGAGGGTACGTTGCAGGTGGGATTTCCCACATCTGGGCCCTGGACTGCCCTCTGTCTGAAGAGGCGCAGGAAGGGCAGCCCAAACCCAGAGGTGGTCTGTCCTTTATAAGACGTGCCAAGTCCAGCAAGACCCTCAGGAGGTTTGGGGGCATTTAGCAGGGGCTTCTGTCGTGACTGTTCATCCCTCTTTCTGGGGGTGTCTGTCTTCTCTCTGTCTTGTCTCATGTCTTTTGTTTGGGGGTACCTCTCATCCGGTGTTATCTGTGGGTTTGTGCCCTGTTTATTGAGACTCCCTCTGTGTCGATTTCTGTCTCCTGGTCTAGTGTCCTCTCTCCCTGTCTCTCTCTCTCTCTCTCTCTCTCTCTCACACACACACACACACACACACACACACACACACTTCTTCCTGTATTCATTCTTGCTCTCTCTTACTGACTCCCCTCTTCCAGGCTGGGAGCTGCCTCAGCCCTGCCTTGCAGACCTCCAAGGGGCCCACCTTGGGAAGGGGAGGGCTTCAGAAGCTCACAGGCCTCCTGACTGTGAGCAGGCCCTGGCCTTCCTCTCTTAGGCCCCCTTCCTTTGCTGGGCACTCAGACCCTGTCTGCTGCTCCTGGGCTGGGGACCGAAGGCAGAGGCAGGAGCAGAAGGTGCAGAGGCCCTTCTCAGATTCCCCAGGAGGGAGTGGGAGGTGTGGAAAAGCTCCCCACCCCTGGAGGCGTACGTGGAGGCCGCACAGAGGAGCGGCAGCAGAACCGTGGAAGGCGTTCGGAGGGCTATTGCCATGGGGCAGCACGTGCTCGCTGTCTGGAAGCAGCACTGCCTACTCGTTTTTTTTTCTCCTGCTCCCTGAGACGGAGTCAGGAGTTGTAAGCATTCCTTGTGGGGCCGAGATCCCACAGACCCCTGATCTCTGG